CAATACCCAAACTCATATACCCAAACCCAAATTCACCAAACTCAAACAGTTTGGGTCATGTCTAATCGAAAATAATAAGTTGAGATGCAATCATCATGACAATTTTTTCTTTTTGATAAACAGTTGTCAATGATCAATAATAAATCTTTCTCTGAAGAAGATTTAATTTTATTTAAAAATTGAAATGTATTTATTTTTAGTTAACTATTGATGAATGTACTCGATTAGGTTCTGTAAAGAATTTAAAATGTTTATTTCAATTAATTGAACAACAAATTGATCGTTTACAAACAATGTTAATAACTCAAAATCAACAACTTATTCTACCACATAATGATCAAACAATAAATGATATTGATATTGTATTACATAATCCTCAACAATTAACGAGTGATGATACATTACGTTTTTGTTTAAGTTTATTATGGAATTTAACTGATGAGAATGCAATTGTTTGTGAACATTTTATACAATCATTGGGTTTAGAATTATTTCAACGTTTACTTCATTTATTTTCATCGGATACGATTGTATTAACAAAAATTGTTGGATTATTAAGTAATATAGCTGAAGTATCACATCTTAAAGTATATCTTTATCCAGTTGATATCATTTTATTAATGAAAAAATATATTAACGAAGCTATACTTGATATTGCATTTTCAGCAACTGGTATTCTTGCACAATTACTTTATGATCAAACAGATGATGAAATTAATTTTGAATTATGCGACCAAATGAGAGTTGCAATTATAAAATGGCAAAATCCACATTCAAATATGGTTACATATAGGTGATTATTTATATATCTTTATTGACATAGAAATTAATAATATGTTTCACATTACTTTTATCTGAATGCAGAACAAGCTTAGAGAAATCATGTGTAAAACACATTTGTTTTTATGCAGAAATATTGTGCAACAATTTTCTATAGTATACATTTGAAAACTAGTCCAGTGTTTTATCTAGCTTTCGTTTTCCGGATAGGCGAATTGAAATTTAGGGTGAGCGGCGTTCATCCGGATCATTTCAAAATACACAGCTACTGTATTTTTTTCACGTGGGCGGCGCCCACCCGCTAGATAAAACACTAGAAACTATTTTAAATAGTATTACTTCCTAGTAATATACTTGTCATTTTTATTTAGATCTTTCAAGCCATTTTTACCATTACTTTATTGTACTCGAATACCAGTTGTACAATTATGGGCAATATGGGCTATTCATCATGTTTGTAGTACTGATCGTAAGTATATAAATTTTAGAAGATACAGAAAAACGAAAATGACTTCCATTTATTTACTAGGTATCCGATACGTTCGAATAGTTCGTGAAGAAAAGATCTATGATATCATACAAGCTATCTATAATGAACAAATATCATTCGATCATCCGGATCTATTTATGATTCAATTACTCAAATCAATACTTCATATTTTTAAATCGTATTATTTAAATCGTCATCAAAATACTTCTGCTGTTGCTAGTTGATATAAAGTATCTTTTGTTATTTTTTTCCTATTATATTAAAAATATGTAAAAAAAAAAGTATTTTTCTTCGATAAAAACAAA